ACGTCCATCCAAGGCACGATTTTCCAAACGTTTACGAACGGCCTTTCCAAGAACAGACTTTCCACCGGATCGTGTCGTTTCTTGGAGCGAGAGTGGCGGAGCGACAGGCCGATTTACCAATTTTGGACCAGAAGTCTCTATTCCCCTCGTGCACGCCGTCGAATACACACCGTGGATTCGTAGAAAACCAATTGTACCTCTTTAACGATTAACAACGTGGAATTTTGATGCGCGAATCACGAAAATAAGATCTCCCGCTTCGAACTAAGTCGTGTATCGAGTAGAAATTCTACAAAAATTCGCGATTCGTACGAGCAATCGAGTTGAAATTGATAAAGTAACGATGCTTTTTCTTTATTCTGAAAATCGGTAAAAAGAAACTTTCCACTTACGAAATACGAAAACCTTCCATCCACGTCGAATGTCGTTTCGTGTCTGGCGTCGTTCCGTGTCGAAATCGAGGCGTAGCGGGTCGATATATAAACAAACGAAATTCCTACCACGCTTCGTATAATATAAACAAAATCGCGCACACCGAACGAAGCGGCGTATAATCCGCTCGAGGCTTCGTGCTTCGTAGAATCGCGCGAAAACATTTAAAGCACCGTCTCGTCCCGACGTCAAGAATAAACCAAACTCCTCCCCACCATCGGGACCCACCTTCTTCTACAGTTCTTTACATTTCCGTCTTCTCGTCGAGGAGGATCGAAAATGTGCCCACCGTTGTCCACTTTCCGCTTCCTTATAATATTATAAATAATTTTTTTTTTTTTGGAAAAAAAGAAACGAGTTTTACTTTTTTTCTACTCGATTCTCGTACAGAGAATCAAATATTCGAGACAAACATGGTCGAAAACAATCGTTCGTTTCACGCGTGCTCGTGGGTGCTATTTCTTCCCACGGCCGATAAAAGTTTATCGGTAGGGGACAGAGTTGGGGAGGGAGAAGCGGTTTTCTATAAATTGGGGAAGGAGAGAACCGTTCGGGCGGAAGATATTTAACGACCGATTCGTTTCTCTCGTATATTTCTTTAAAGGGAGGAATGGAGGAAGTGCGGCGAGGAGAAGAGTAAACTGGGGGAAGGTTTCGATGAAGAAAAGATAGTGGAAATATTTGGAATTAAAATTGGTCGGGTGCGCTCGACGGTTTTAATAGCGTTCGCGGTATAGCAAAGTTCTAAATTAAAGCATCAAGTGGCGGGCTTCAAGGATAAACTGCACTTTGTAGCAGCACCCGCATATAGCTATCCGTATGCTTCTATTTTCGTATGCATAAATATTTTAACGGACGACCCATTTATCAATTATTTATTAATCATTAGCCATAACAACGGCGGAATATATGGTACACGAAAAGATTCGAGATTACGGAATCGCGCAAATATAAGCGTTAGAATTATTTGCATTTGAAATTAATAAGAAATTCAATTTCTCACGTAGAGAGAAGAGAGCCTTATCGAAGATTAATACGAGAATTCGATGTAAGTTCAAAAAAGTTATTTTTTAAAGTTTCCCTGTAGCAGTCTGAGGAACGAAAGTTGAGGAAATTCGATTTTTATCGAATAAATTTCAGGAAAGAATAAAAGAAGGCAAGAAATTCTAGCGGAATAAAAAGAAAGAATAAAAAAATCTGGCAGAAAAGAATTTCAATAACGAACGGAGAAAAAAAATGCAAATATTCAATAGATTAAAATTTCCTAGAAAATTTCCTAGAATCTTTAGAAAACGATCGAACAATCTCGATATAAACTTTGACATTTAGCCGGGATATCTAGGATGATAACAGCTTGATCGAATTCCTCTTGTCATCACGATCATTGGGTGTTGTTGGAAGAAATTCACGATAAAGGATCAAGAGAGTACGAAAGGCAGTGAATAGATAAGGAATCTTGCAAATGAAAGGAGACAAACGTAATGATCGGCTGCGGAAAAAAAACACTCCTCGTTATATTCTTCCTGTACCATTTGATTTAAGGGGCGTGCTCTTGATTCTAGATTTCCCACGTTCCCATAAGGCTCCCATTCCGTCTTTATCTCCTTGTCCTTTCGCTTTCCTATTCCTATTCCATCCAGGAGAGCAAATGTAATAAAATTTCTTCTCTTCCTTCCTTGAGGAAGTGCGCTCTCTTCGATAAAATTCGATCGAAAAGGGATCCTTCCGATGAAATTAACTCTGCACGTGATCCTACACGACGAGCATCTCGACGATCAAAGGGAATACGAGTCCCAATATTGACGTTGCATAAAAATTGTTTTCAAGATTAATTTCGCTCCACGGAATTCTTGGAAAGAATAATTTTCCTCGAATATTTTTCGTTTATGAATATTCCAATCTATCCCGTGAAAAGTAAATTTAAATACTTGGCGATTCAACTCTGGAACATCTGGAAACGAGAGCTCGTTCGAGGAAACGCGCGAACGGAAATGGAGAAAATCTTATAACGTATCCTCGCATTTTCTTCCTCTCAGGGGGAAAGAACAGAGAAGAGGCAAGCTCAAGGCAAGCTTTCCCACTGTCGGCCGACTCGTGCATCTTGCAACGTATCGGCTCGTTAAACTCGATCGTTCGTAAAGCGAGAACAACCTCTTGGAATCTTATTTTCCATGGCGTGGGTGCGCCATGTGGGTTCACTCGCGCAACACCTACCACTTTATTCCTCGAGGTTCAACTCGAAGGTTCGTTGCGTTCTTCCTAGTATATATATATAATCGTTCCTTCCACCTTTTATGCATATACCCCCGCTTTTTCCACTTTGCGAAAAATAACCAGAGCGGAAAACACGAGTCATACGAGTCATACGTAGATTTTTAACGAAACGAAAATTCCCATCGACCGTCCATCTAGTGGAAATTCATGAATTTATCCCGAGCGGCCAGTGGTTTCAATTATCCGAGTCGAATATAAAAGTGGCGATCCGTAGCCAGATGTATTTATCGAATCCACGTTTCGATACGTTGCGTCAGAGACAACAGAGAGTGGAGAGAGAGATGAAAAACCGTAGGCGACGCGCGTCAATACCAGGAAGAAAATCCGCGCCGGATTTGACGGAATATAAATGTAGCCTGAAAAATGAAACCAATGTATAATCGATTCGTCGTGACATGATAAACGGGGGCAAACCGTTTTATTTTATTCTCCTTCTCTTTCCAATTTTCTTTCTTTCTTTCTTTTTTCTTTTTTTTTTTTTTGTTAACGAACGAATCACCACCGCGATTAAATTTTATTCCTTCTTTCCTCCCCTTCCTCCCCGTCGTTCTTGCCTTTTTTTTCGCTTAACGGTATCGTTTTCAACCTCGTCGTAAACCTCGAGACATCGATGTAACCATCGGCAACAATTTAGGTCACAGCTTTGTCGAAGGCATGGGCCGATCGTTAACGAAACGAATTGAATCGGACTCGTCGACTCGTTTCATCTCGTCCCGTTTCTTTTTCCCCGCCGGACGCATCACCGTTGATGTAACCGTTCCGAATATTCGAAACGGTTCGGCGAATCTCGAGAGAAGCGTGGGCGACGATTCGCTCCGTTTCGTTTAACGTAGGTCGGAATTTGGGGGGAAATCGGGACCAGAATTCGTTCGCGGCACCATCCATCCGTGCACTCTATTTGCCCTTCCATCGATATGGAAGATATCAAAAAAATATCGATATTTCGATATTTTTCCAATCTTCTCCATCTTTTATCTTTTTTTTTTTGAAAGATTCGTCGAGTTTTCAAACTTTCTCCTCCCGAAATCTTCAAACGTTCAAATTCTTGCGAAGCTCGAGATCGATTATAAAATCTTCAAATTCTCATGTCGTCCCTTCGAGGATATATAATTAAATCGATGAAGAAACGAGATGTGGAAGCATGGAGGATAATCGCAAGATGGCTTTGGGAAAAACAAGCGATAGCAGGAATGAAAAGAAATCGAACTTATACGATTTCTCCTTCCATCGTGGACGGCCCGTTTAGGCACGACCTTTGATCTATTTCCGGACGAAAACGCGTTTGTCGCGGCGAATAAACCGCCATTTTACCTCTGCCTGACAGGACGTATTTCCGGCGAGTGGTTAGTCACCCAGTTTAAATAACACCTAAGTATTAACAGCTAGGTTTTCGTCTCTTCTTTCCTACCTGTAACCCTTTCTTTCTCCGAGCCAAGTGTATTTCTGACTCCACCGCTTCTCGCCGACGGATCGAGGTTAATTGGCTACCATCAGGACGAAAATTAACGCGAATTAGTCCCGGGAGAGTTTCCGTCACTTGAATCGCGACTCGCGCGAGTTTTTGTCCATCGGTTTAATTAATCGCACGACGAGTCGAGCAACGTCTCTCACCAAGTCCCCTCCAAATCGAAACTTTTCCCGATAAACCGTCAGAAACACGATTCTAAAACGTGATTGTACATTGTTTCTCGAGCAGAAGGGACAAAATAAAATATCGCGTCTAAAATATTTTGAAGCAATGGTTGTAAAAACTGAAATTTCCTCACTTTCTTCGTGCCAATTTCGTTCTGATGATAGATCATACTATTTATGCCCTGATTACTTGAAGCGGTAAAAATACGTTAGAAACAACGTTCTATCACGATTATTGTCTCAACAAATATCTTAAAGAAACAAGAAAGATAAACTAATAATAATAGAATATTCGAGTCACGCACAAATACGATCCACGCATATTACGCGACACACGTAGATTACCATCTAACCTACAATTTTCCTCTTCGTTTTCGACACCCTCTTCCAATTCTCCTCAACCTCGTGAAGCGACCTCCCCGCGTAACCCGAGCTCTAACGCACGAGCAATTGCGCCAAATTGGTACGGCCGCGTTGTAATCTACTCTAATCTAACCTAATCGAGTGCCACGCCGACTCTCCCATCTCCACTCGTCGTTAATCAACCGCGACTTCTTGAAATTCCTTCGTCGTAACCTACCACCACCGCTATCACCACCACTCTTGACGCTGACAAGCGTGGAATAATAACAAGACCAACTAACACGTGAATGATCGCTCACCGTCGTCGCTGATTTCGAGATTCGTGTAGCTGTCCCAGTGGAGGATGGGGTCGTGATGCGCAGAGGCGTGGGGGACAGCGGGCGTCGGAGCTGGTACAGGCCCGTCTTGACGTTTGGCGTCTGTGGCGAAGTACAGCGTGACCACGCTGTCAGGTGGGCATCTTGGATCGTCGCAGGCGACGTCGAGCTCCGATCGAGGGAAGGAAACCACGTTCTCCGTGATTACGCACGTGTGGAACTGCGAGAACACAAATACACTTCTTACGATTCTTGCGATTTCACACTCGAGCTCGATTTAAATCGTCCTGCTGAAATGTTCCACTATCTATCATCGAGTGTCTACACGAGTGTCGACGTGATTAAGAATTGGAGAGGAAATTTATGGGAGAGAATTTCTGCCGAGATTGGGTTGGATAGGGTTGATAAAGGAATGTGGAGTTTACGTGGAACGATTAAAGGGAAAAAAATTACAAATGAAATACAAGGCGAATGCGATTATGTCGATTATTATAGTATAATTGGGAAAGTTTGGTGGAGTAGTTCGGTCTTACCTGCAGGGAAAACATTACTTCCCGGCTCTGCTTCGAGTACACTCTATGGTAACATTTCACCAGAATGTCTCCCCTCAGACGAAGACCCCCGAGATTCACGGTGAACTCGCGAGCATTCGTCACGGAGTAGAGATCCGAGGTGTATACGGGATTCAGACCTTCGTACACCTTGAGAAATGCCCGACAACCCGTTGGCTCGAAGAGTGGAACGCCCAGGACGGTGAGATGCGTTAAATAGAGCGGGGATTGGCTGATCCTTAAGGAGCCTGATAAAAGTCCGCTGAAATATTTGATGTACCTGAGGAAAAGGAACAGCAACACTTTTTAGAAGTATTCCATGGCGAATACGTAAATGCTTTTTATATCGCGATTACCGAATCATCGCATTCGCGTAAAATCACGAATAGAATCTCGATTTTTCGTGTGAAAAAAGTGTGAGAAAAAGTTAAATTTTCGTGATCAAAATCGGCGGAGGAAATAGAGGAAAGTGTGCCGTTGAAGCCCCTTTTTGTTTTATCTCGATATCTCGAACGGTCGCCGAGATATAAGGACTCCAAGTTCCCGTATTCGTTCAACATAGCGCAAAATTATGAATGGGTCCGCGACTTAGTGACCTACATTTTTTCCCTGGAAACGCGTACTACACGTTTTTCCAGGAATCGCGACTGTCGCTTGTCTGGAGTTTGGGATAGGTCAGTGAGGCGAGGCGCGAGCGAGAATTCCGAACAGGAAACAAGGATGGAGACGATAAACGATTAAAAATTAACTTTTCCTTTGCACGACGATATCTCGGGAACGGGAAGTCGTATCGGGATAAACGAAAGAGCGTTTTAAAGAGGAAGGTTCCCCGCTTCTAACGATCTCTCACCCATCGACAGCGAGTGATTATCTTCGGAGTTATAGCGATTCAAATTTTTCCTAATTTTAATAGGATTCGATCGGATTTAAGGCAAATATTAAAAATTACCTCTTCTTTCCTCGACGATATCTCGGGAACCGGAAGTCGTATCGGGATAAACGAAAGAGCGTTTTAAAGGGGAAGGTTCCCCGCTTCTAACGATCTTTCACCCATCGACCGGGAATTAATATCTTCGGAGTTAAAGCGGTTTAAAGTTTTCCTAATTTCGATAGGGTTTTCATCCGATTTTGAGGTAAAATTTTAATCAAATTAAATACTGCGAAGATAAAATTAGTCAAATTTATCGGTAGCAAAGGCATGTTTTTGATAATTGCACGTAAAAAAAAAAAATTCCAAATTTTAACTCCAATATTAATACAACCAGTCATTAAAAAAAAAAAAAATGTAAAGACGCGATTAGCGTGTTCTGAAATTTCATAATGGAAATATTACGACACGCGACACGATACAGCAATTAACGCCTAAATACCGCTTCCACTCCCGAGTATCATGTTATTCACGCTTAGGTCAAGGTAATTTACTTTTTCCTATTTTATTTTTTTTTTTCCTTTTCCCTTCCCTTTAATCCAATCCCATCGGTGAACCAACCACCAACCAGGATGGTCACTCGAGACTCGTTTCCATCACGAAACACTCGAGGGAGCGAGAAAAGAACGGGTCATCGCGCAAAAGTATTGTACCATCCCCGATTGCGACACTCGTTCGCGTGCTAGTAATTAATATCCGGCCACGAATCGCTACTTTTCTACTTCTCACCTCTGCCCTTTCACCGATCCCTCGTTCCAAACTCGAAACAACGAAAAACTTTCGACAAACGTCCCCATGAAGGAAGGATCGATCACCACGATCGATTAATTTGAATGCGCGCGCGGTAAACGCGGAAGATCGGAGGAGAAGATCAAGAAATCGGAGAGAACCGTGGTCCCAAGGATACCTGTCGATTATGCAAGCTTCGTGAGCGCTCATGACCGTAATTTCCCGCCGATCTCTCACGAATATCCCGCGTGTCGCTCGTAACGAAGCAGATACCATCTCCTCGATCCCCTCTGGCCAAGGAGGGTGAGGGGAGAAAAGAAAAAAGAATGCTCGCCTCGGTGGCACCCGAGGTGCTGCGCTCTATCGACGAGCTGACGCGCGTTACACGAGGAGAGGTAGGTTGGTCGCATCCGGAGCCTCGACTCTCGATAATGGATTCATACGTTCGCGGCTAACGACATGCTAATGCTCGCCGCTCGTGGAATTAATGGGGAAACTCGATCGTTCGGGGGATGTAAGATCGCGGACGATGGAACGAGGAAGACGACGCGGCACTGCCGTGCAGCCTTCCGCGTATAAGGACATCCCCGGCTTCGATCGGGGATCATTACGTGTGCCAACGTTCAAACTTAAACAGACGTGGACGGTAAACGCGCGGTCGTTCGCTCGGGATGTTGCCGCGAGGTTGACAGGTTTACCTAAGGGGGATCGTGTTTATTCGGTTATTTCGACCGAATTTTTTCGATCCGCTTCCGATACGAAGCGTCGAAACGCTTCTGGCGATGCGAAGGCGGATTATTTATCGAGCGACGAGTGGTTTTCCGTGACTCTGTCGAGGAACGAGTTATCGTATTATATGAGAATATTTAAAAGAAATCTGCGCGAGAGTGTGGAATAAGAATAAGATCATTGTTCGAGAACGATCGAATTTTGGGATTAATTTAGCCTTTAGTAAAGTGAGTTTTATACTTCCGTGCAGTTTTAGAATCGTTACTCGAGTTTTTCCTAAAATTCGATAAATTTTCGCTAGATGTCACCTTCTACCGCTTTTTCAACTTTCGTAATATTCGTCCGGGTGCGATAATTTTTGAAATTTATTTTTCTTAATTAGATTGATTAAATTTAAAAAAATTTCGTCGACGCGCGGGACTAATTCATAATTTGTACAAGTTTCCGAATCGTTTCGAAAGCGGGGGGAACGAGTAAGCCTTACGAAACGAATCTCGTATCTATTCGATCGAATGGTTTAAAAGGATGAGCCAGATATATCTGTTAACTCGCACAAGCGTGACTACATAGTTCGAGAATTATATCGGCCTTGAGTAGAGTATTTTATCATAGAATTTACGGGACTTTTACGACCGTTTTATCGACGCTATGATATAGAAAGCTTTTAACTTCCACTTTTTACGGAGTCATCAAATACGCATTAGAATCGGGCAAAACACGAGTAAACTAATAAACGCAATCGTGTAAAAAATATTTTCACGCGTCTCTCTACAATTTATTGATTGCCCGATAATAAAAAAGATCGCTTCAAAATGATAACAAACCGAGTTACTCCGCTAACCAATTCCTATTCTCCTCTCACAATGATCAATTAACCGAAATCTCTCACGCTTATTCAACGTTTCGAAAAAGAAAAAAAAAAAAAAAAGAAAAGAAAGAAAAAAAAGAATCCTATTCTCACGATTCAAGACCAAGACCAATTAACTTTGTTGCACGGCGCGCATACGTTAATTACGACGTAATAATTTTACGTAAGAGGAGCGGATTCGTAGGAAGGAACCGCTTCCCTTCGAAACAGAGGGAATTAACGCGATGAAACGCGGGATTCAGCGAGGTGGTTGCTGGATGCGGCCACGCCCGTCGTCGAGTATTATCTGAGTTATTCGCGACTAAGAGGCGATAAAGTTTGCTTTATCGTCCCAACGTCAACACAGGCGAGTAACGTCATGCACCGCGGTGATTACCTTCGATGCGATGGAACCTGCAGGGATCCAATCTTGTCGTCGAGGAATCTCCTCATAGCAAACCTGTCCAACGCCTGATCACGTCCGCCGCAGATGCTGCTGTAGTTCATGTAAGCGGACACAGCCACACCCAATCGTTCTTTGCTTCCCCTGAACAGATGCGCGGAATGAGCTTTTCTTCGTCTTCCTCCTCCTCCTCCTCCTCCAAAGAAACGACGAGAGAGAGAGAGAGAGGACTCCACCGTGGCGGTGGAGGACCGACCACGCGTA